CTTGAACAAATTTAGGGGTAAAAAGCACCATTAGAGCCTGTTCTTGGCCAAGGCAGGGGTGCTAAAAGCAATATTCAAGATTTCGAAGGTCAAAAATTGGTGACCTTTTGACCTCTAGTAACCTCATTATTCAACTATCATTAGAAAGAGCTCTTAAATACCATCATTTTGAGTGGTCACATGATCCATTAGCTTTAAAAACAACAGATCTAGTAGACTTTTTGTTTTTCCCACCCCTAATTTTTCGCCAATTTTTGAGTTGACGCTCTCAACACAAAAGGGTTAATACAGAAAATTGCTCAAGGGTGACGGGTGGTCATCCACCTAGAAAGTGAAGACCAACACCTAGTCTACAAGAATCAGCAAAGAAAAAAACTTTAACTCCTAGTGCAGGGTTCCGCCCAAAATCAGGGTTTGGCTCCCGGACTATTGTGGTGGCTAATCATCTTAAGCAATCTTACTCTTACTCGTCCTAGAGTAGTGACTAGTAGTCTTAGCCGGCTTTTATATAATCTGATACTGATACTGATAGTGATAGTGTCATAATACACATAGGGGGCCTATAGTATAGTATATCACTAGCCTATAGAGTATAGGCTATACCGGTAGCCTATATGCCCCTGCGTTAGTCATAAATTCGTTGTGGCAACTTGTGGCTTGTGCCTACGGCTACGTACTTACCTACTGTAGTGAAATTTGGTTATGTTCCGAGTCAAGTAGTAGTACCTGACAACCCTGCATATGATAATGCTAGTGCCTCAGAACCTAAATGGCACTAGTAACAACCAACAACCTACTACACTAACTTTCCCTAATAATGATTTCGAGTCCTATTTGATGCTTGTCCGCTTTCGTGGCACTTGTTTGTGTTGCCCGCCTTACGCGCCATCTCGCGCTTGAAAAAAGAATGTATGAAGTTAGCGAGAGTGTAGACTCGTTCCCTTAGAGAACTCTGTGTCCGTAAAACCATCCTCTTGCATTCTAAAGAGATTACATGAAGGTAGTATGTTTATGCATGCTTTACTACACAATTTCTACACTCTTCTACAAATCCTTACTTTCGCTGCTTTCGTTGGATATCTCGACGTACACTGGTTGTTGTTTTAATCACAGGCACTTGGAACGTCTAAAAAAAAAAAGGTAAATAAACACGAAATGTATTTACTACCAAAGTCTTAATGTTTCTCTACTCTATTTCGCCTATAATCACTTGTAAATGCCAGTCAAATGCTCATCTGCAACACGCAAGTACACCGCACGCCCGCGCTGTGCACAAACAACATGATTAAGATTTACCTTCTTTTTTTTATTGAGACGTTTCAAGTGCCTGTGGTTTTAATGTTCAACCGCGATGCAGGTTGTAGGGTAAAGTAAACTTACGGTTCCCTTTCTGACTTACTCTTACAAGCGGGCGTTGTTTGAGATGTTACAGATGTAATACTCAGAAGCCCTTGTAATATAATAACCTTATAACCAAGTAGTAGTATTGCGCGGCGCTAAGGGATTTATATCGAAGACGGAGAGAGACAAAGTTGATCAAAAGAGACAGTTCGCTGACACTGCACTGAGCAACAGTTCCAGTAGAAAAAAACTTACAATTAACTTGATACTAATTTTACCAATACTATTTGCACGTTCATCACCTGATTGCAGACGCAGTTGCGGCAGAGCAAGCGAGAGTGATGGCCGACTCGGAGCGGGCTGACCCCGAGATGGCTCGTTTCGTCGAGGGCGAGATGCAGAAGCAGCGCTTTCAGCACATCGTCATCCAGCTTGCCGAGCAGTGTTGGGACGTCTGCGCCGTGCAGGCGACGGCCCGACTCGACCACCGCGCCGAGACGTGTCTCGCGAACTGCGTCGAGCGATTCATAGACGTTAGCAACTTTGTCGCGGGTCGGCTGGAGCGGTCGGTGGCCTCCGCGCACACACAGCCAGACTACCACTGACAGCTGCGCGTCCGCCTGCTCCAGCGCCAGGCAGACGCGGGGTTGTACGGAGCGCGCGACACACCGTTCTCACCGGCGCTTATTTTGATTGGTTAGAACGTATGCGGCATGTATAGGGAAAGGATTCCGGAAGTGTGTGTGTGTGATGGATGGGGAATAGTTGTACTTCCGTGCAGGGCTTTTGTAAAAATTACGGTTGCAATGTTACGCCGAGTGTTGCCTCATTGTTAGGACAAGGACAATAGGACAAAATGCATTGAAGTTATCTTGTTCCCACATATATATATATAAACAATGTGGAATGTGCCTAGGTAATACTACCAGGGCTGCCAACATTGGGTGATAGGTGAGAGTGAGATGCGAGGGAGCGAAGCGACCGAGGGGTGAAGGGGGTTTCCCCCCTCCCACGGTAGGGAGCTTTTGCATTTTATAACTTTAATTTGTGCAATTTGGTGCATACTAAAGTGGCTGTTTTCAGATATTGTAAGATTTTTTTTGCTGTGCGTGAGATATTTCAGCGTTTTGTTTATGAAGAGATGTTCATGCGTGAGATATCTCAGCATTTTTTTGCTGTGCGTGAGATATTGTAAGATCAGCGTGAGAGCGTGAGATTTGGTCAAAATGCGTGAGTCTCACGGTCAATGCGTGAGAGTTGGCAGCCCTGTACTACACCAGCTCATATAGCAGCGAAGATTGTGATGACCCTTACTTGAAGCCTTAAAGTGATATGGCACCCTAACATTTTATAGTATATTATGATGGTAAGTGCATAAATAATAGTATATACTTACAAATTTCTATGATCATGCATTTATATTTGTCAGAACACAACAGCGAGTTTCGAAATCTTTATTTTTGGCCGCTGACATGACACCCCGGTGACCCTGCGATCGTGCTGCCACCCTGTCAAAGTTGCGCTTTTTTGAATATGGTTTGCATGTTACATACCGAGGTCTAATCACAATATTTATTATACTTGACTGGTATTTAACTGAACGATATATATTTTAGGACAAATTCGTCCATAATCTAACTGAATATAAGTTGTTTATCAGATATTGCAATCCTTCTCCTCTTAAGCCTGCAGCCGAAAAGTTTCGATGCACAACTTTGAGAGCAGATGGGCTAGTAGTGGGGCCACCGTCGTTGTAAGCAACGGTACAGCTGTTAGTTTTAAAACATTAAAAAAATATTTCTAAAGAATATTGAACGGTGAAATTTTTTATGTAGTGTAATTTAAACCTATTTTAACTGAACATATGCAAGGAACCTAGCTAGGGTCATGTATCCCTTTAAGTTTGAGACCAGTCGCTGAAATAATTCAATGGGGGTGTGGAAAATTTTGTAAACAAGCATGTACCATGCAGGCAGGCATTAGTGAAAATTGTGTGGATTGGGACATTTTTATTCTGCATAGATCTACAAGTACCTAAATCTTTCCTGCATGTCTGCTAACAGTAAATCATCTGGCAACTTTTACTGCGCCCTGCGCCCTGTGTTATTATCATGTGACATTACAGATTTTATAAAGTGCCAAAATGTCTATGTGACCGATTCTCACATGTCAAAGAGATTTGTAAGATGGTGAAAGATAAGAAACCCAAAATGCATGGGGATAAACAATGCATGTAACAATTGTCTGACATCGACTTAAAACTGCTCGTATTGTATTTGTTTTACAATATTTACAAGCTTGTAACCACAAAGTTTTGCCCACGACTAGTTAATAAATGATTTTATAATGATTGCATCTCATGTAACGGCACAAAATTCTTATTTTCGGTGATTGCCAAAGAGCCATACATAAGACGCAAGAAAATAATATATCAGACCATTGCATGCGTTCATGACGCACAATCAAATGTATGTGTAGTCTGGACAGAACATGCCCAATTTCCAAATAAACTTGAGTAGAACAAATGGTAAAATAAACAGAATGAACCAAACGCACTACTCGATAAGAAACCGGAACTCAAATGACAAAGTACAACATGTAGCTACCACGTGTCACCTACATAGCACCGCTATCATTCTGCCGAATATACACGTATATTACAACGATGCCACTCTGTGTAGAATACATAACTGACTGTGTTACGGTACACAACTATAACGCAATCATGCTTTTTTTCCTGACCAGTATCGCTCGTAACGCAAATCCCTTAAGACCCCAAAACAATGTATAAATGCTATATTAATCTGTATGTGTCTTAAATAACAAAGTGATAAATGCACACATCGCATCTCGCGTGGAAGTGTGGAGACAGTAACACGCACAATGGCACGCAACAAGTACGGCTAAATATAACCCCCACACGTCTGAAAAGCCCATAAATCATAAACGTATGGTACACAGGAATGCAAACAGTAGCAAAACAATAGCTGCTACATTGTTCACTATAAATTCAGGAGCTACGTCGCAAAATTAACCAGGTCATCAGTATCTGACAATCGCGTGTGTAGAATGTAAAAGGTTATAGTGCTGGTCCCCGAATTCCTACTATTGTAAGGATGTCAATAAGTAACTTCCCCTATATACGTATATATATTATATTATATCACGCACTGCTCAGATCAACGAAGACAATACCTTTCAATTTGAACTCTCACTACTGATATTAAGAGCTTAACACAACTCTAAATTAAAACCTGTTCATTAGCTGCTTGTAGGAAATACTGCTTGTAATAAATCGCAGCCACATCGTCTTTGGATGGTTTTCAATAAAATCGTCACAGCTACACATAGTTTGACGTAGCAAGTACGGCTAATTAGACAGTTGGTCAGAATATAATGTCTCCAACCAGTCTGGACAATGATAATACTGGTCATCTTTCCAGTGAATATAGCATATATTGCCACGCACGAACAATATCTTGTCTTTACACTACAAAAATTGATTATCCTGTTTCCACCAAGTCGCAATCTAAGAGGAAGTGTATCTGTGCGGTAGCTCCCTCTGTTGAGATCTTCATTTACAACAGCAGAGCGCTGGAACTGTGCCGGGTCTCACTGTGCTTCTAGCCAGGAAGGAGGAGTTGTGTTAGGTGGCTTGAGGTTGATGTTGAACTGTTTCAAGGCTTGCTCCAAACCGTCCTTGTTCCCCGAAAAGTACGCCGTCAGCGCTCGATTAAAGAGTAACAGCTGCTTATGCATTACCTTGACCTGCAGCAAAAAACACCAATATACATTCTCAAGAGTACAGCCAAACTCGAATGTTTATGAGAGTCATTCAAAGGAAACCCTAGAAGTTGATTCTCTCATAGACTGGTGTCTGTTCTACAGGGATGGCTTCACAGTATGACTACCACTCAAGGTGAACAACAAAAGTTTCCTTTATGTACAGATAGATCTTGGTTCCACAGAGGCAACCGCTACCACAAATGTGACTGTATATATACGTAAAACCAGGAGCAATATATATATATATATAGATATATATATATATATATATATATATATATA